CAAATTCTAAGTAAGCTTATGTAATCAGAATGTAAGAAGACAGGTTAATGATCGTAAAGCTAAACGAGGTTGTAAACCAGACACCTTGGTCTCAAACCAACTTTGAAAACAACAATAAGCTTGGCGAGCTCGTTCACTGACCCTGTGAACTCCGGTAAATTAAAACACAACGGCATTTATTTACAAATTCATTTGGAGCGAAATCAGGAGCGAAATAGTCCAAATTTTAGGATAAAAGAGTAGCGTACTATTTTCTCTAACTGATTCTGTCGTTAGTTTGACTGTAATATAGTTTTCTTGTGTCAAAATATCTACAACAACAACCGCTCGAAGCCGCCCGCCGGCGGTTCCTTGAAAATCAACAACCTTGTACGGCACGAATGTCAAACGGACTGTGTACGAAGAAATTTTTTTCCATCGGCAGTTTTTGCAGTGAATACAATTTAACGATCATTTAAACTCATTGTTCACATACCGAAATGATCGGCTTTCTTCCATGGACAAAATTCGGTTGTATTAAAACGTCCGACGTAGTGTAGTTCTGAGAATTTAATACGCAAGCGTTTCTGAGAAAAGATTATTGCAGTGATCTTCGCAAACGGCCTGGCAAAGCCTGTAGAAGCTTGAATAACCGCATGTAAGCTTATGTACAAACGTTTTCGGTGCTTTCTTTTCTTGCGAGTTGTTTGAAGACCTGCTGCATCTGCGAGTTTGGACTCAGAGTCAACGCTCTCACCCACGCATGGTAGATTTGTCACAGCAACAACTCTAACACTCTACCACCCCTCCCTCCGAATGTATTTTTTTACCACCCAGAATTTGGGTGGTCACGTGACCAGCCGCAACCAGGGTCTCTCTACTCAACGACAAGGGAGGAAAAGGAGAGAGAGCCTGGAATCGAGGTTGGTATTTTTCCTGTCGCTGCCAAGGGGAAAAAAAAATTGTTTCAGCCATTATGTGAAAGATTTTGAAAACTCGTTTGTGAGCTATTTTCATTTTCCACGATGCGGCAACACAGTGTTTGTTTTACAATTTCACTCTTTTAAATTAAATTAAATGAGAAATAGGCTAGAAATGTGCGTCAGATTGTATATTTTGTCAGAACCCTCTCAGTCTATCCCGAGAACGTCCGTATATATTGCGCAAAATGTCTGATATTCCCTACAGTTGTTCTCTGCACGAAATATTACAGACTCCGTGTAGCTCTAGTAGGGACGAGGAGAATCCTGTTTTGCTCTCTGAGTGCAACTCGGATATTTCGGCGCATTTGGCGAGCTGCCATTTATCGAAATTCGGTGATGTTACCGAAGCCGAGCTAATCTTGGCCAGAGCGGGTATTCGCGGTTTGTCGGCGACCCAGCTTGCGAGCATGACCATCTGCCCGAGGCACAGACATTTACTTGGAAGATTCTGGCGATCGAGCCCCGAAGTCCTGCCAATACCCTGGCCATACTGGGAAGAGTACAAGTGTGGCAGGAAGACATATCATAAACTTCCAAATGGCCGACGAAATAAGGATTTTTGTTTTTTGTGTCCCCAAATTAGTATGGGATTTTCCCAGGCTATAAGGCATTGACACGAAAATAAAGTTTTCTATTCTATTCTATTCTATTCTATTAGCGAAAATGCTGCTGTTGGTTCACGTAAGTACCATTATCCTTGTGGTTCCAGTGATTTTTTTCGCCAGTGTCAATGTATTGTTTCATATAAGTTTTAATTTTCTAATTCAAACATTTCCACCATTTCCTTCTCACAATTCTGACACGCTATCCAGTTTCCTTTACATGTATATAAAAAAAAAATTAATATCAGTCATCGATAATTTTATGTCATACCAGTCGCCACTGAAAAGTTTGTTTCGCTATACTGTTTTTTACGATAATTATTTTTATAACACGACTAAGACAGTAGAGAGGAGCAATAACTAAATTCAGCCAATCAGAATGCTTTATTGCCGGTCTGATATTTTCTAAGTATCGGACCGGGTAAAGTTTCGTGCATTGTTATGGTCTAATTTCCACAGCTATTTTGTAAGCACAAATGTGTCATATACCTTTTATTAACCAAGCTTGCTCAGGGGCGTACTGGGAGAATATCGAATATCGATTGAACAACTGATGTCATTCATACAAGAACTAGAATCAGCTGTAGAATGGTATGAAATGAACAAGTGAATCATGCAAAACAAACACTGCGTTATAAATAGAAATGGCTCACAAACTAAAGGAAAGCTTTCACATAATGGCTAAAATAAATTATTCCCCAGGTAAGAAACAATTCTTTGTCTTGAAAGATACCGGAAAAAGACCTAAATGATCAACTGAAGTCATTCGTACAAGAATTTGAATTCAGGAATATGAAATGAACAACTGTGTCCGGCTAGCAAAACAAACACTGCGGGAAATCAAAATATAGTTCACAATCTGAACAAAACGCTTTCACATAGAGGCTGAAAAAAATTTTACTCCACATAAAAATCAATTATTTCTCTTGGAAAATATTCTCAAGAGTCTCTCAAGGAAAATGTTTTGTGGAATAGATAAAGAAATCCCATCGCAACACGAAATTTAATATGCAGCTAATTTGCATATATCAATTGAAAGGAAATATTTATCGCTGTTTACTTTTGAAAATACCTCGATTTTCCCCGAAACAACAGCTAAAACAACGAATAATATTTATTTGCAAGGCATATGTCTGCCGTTTAGCGGTTATTATTGTATCTCCAAGCGTTTTCAGCTGAGAAATTGGTCTATCGTTCGGACCGCCTTATCTTTGGTTTCGATCAAAATGGCGAATAATTGGGAAATTCGCAGAGCTCTGTACGGCGCGCAGCTTTAAGTGCCCACAAATTTTATTCTATAATTTATTAGATTGGTGTTAGTACTTTTGAGTTATAACAGATTTGACTCTAGGTCAGGTCCCACATAAAATAAAATAATTTTCAACTATAGGTATGTCACGTTTCGCAAATTCCGGAGTTCGAGAGAAGGTATCTTAGAAAATTCATAACTCAGTTAAAATTTGATAAAATACAATTATTAAACCTTTAGACTGTTGATGAAAGATGAAACTTGAATATATAAAATATTCAGCGGGTTTGGACGATAAATTGGGCTTTGGTAGCGCCCGACATTTATAGCTAAATTGTAGAGTCCTCAAAGCTAATTTGCATAATTTTGAGGTTATGTTGAAAATGGCCTCGCAAAAAATGAAAAAGAAGGAATTGATCCAAATAAATGTGATATTTGTTGATGGGATATAATGGTTAACTGTCACTGAAAATATTAGACAAATCGGTGAAGGGCCGAAATTTGCCTTATCCGTTCTTACGCGGACAGCCTCTTAAGCCCCCGGGGGGGGGGGGGGGCTTATTTAATTTCAGGCCTCATGAAGTGAAGGGGGGCTTATTAGAGAGGGGGGCTTAATAGAGAGGGGGGGCTTATTTCAAATCATAAATTTTCAAGAAAATTCACATTAATTTTATAAACTTTACTATTACACCACTAACTAAAACAGAACAAGAAATGGGTTATGTATGACCGTCTTACAAAGGAAACGTCATTTATACCCTAACTCGACGATAGTTCTAGAAATTAAAGACCACGTTTCAATACAAAGTGACTGAAACGCGAGAAACATCAGCCTGACGGAAGGAGGCTTTAGCACCCCCCCCCCCCCCTCCACTTTTCTAAAAAAAAATAGTAAGAATTTCCAGGAGTCATTTCACTAGTTAACGTTAGTTTACTGGAAGTTGGTGATAAAATTTTCGTTTTGATCTGCAGTAGTTGCAATGACCATTAGCAAAGTAAACGCAATTACAACTGAACAAATTAATATCAAGAGTTAAGATAACTTAGAGTTGACTGACTTTATGCTATTGAGCAGTTGTATCTTGCGTTTTATAGAGAAACGTTTCTATGACAACATTTTATCGCCATAGATACTTTAAACTGATAATTATACACAGCTCTGGACATCGCGGGACACGGGAGTCCTGTGCGATAACCAACATAGAAGCGCACATGGTAAATGTTGGAAAGAAAATATCTACAAAAATCTCTCATTGCTTTTCGAAAAATGGACAACTCTCTCTGAATTTAAAGGCCCAGATAATACATTGTGTAAATGTTGATTCTTGTATTAAAAACAGTCGCTTTTTAAGCGGTGAAAGTTTTTTTTTTGCACCACGCTTGTTAATTTAGATGCATTTCCAGCCATTTCAGAGGACTTAAATTCACAATTTTTCCCAGGGGGCATGCCCCCGGACCCCCTGGCTCGCTCACGCGTTCGCATTAGTCCCCCTCTCATGCCTTGGAGGGGGGGGGGGGTTATAGGGAGGGGGGCTTATTACAAAATCTGACTTCCAAAGGGGGGCTTATTAGATGGGGGGGGGGGCTTAATAGAGAGGGGGGCTAAATAGAGCTTTTACGGTATTCAAATACCGGGGGGGGGGAGGGGTACTTCCCTATATAAGCTATATAGGTCACGTTTATCACCCGTCATTTTGAACTACTCTTCACTTCAATAAAGAACATATTTGCACATTAATACTCGTTTCACGGTTTGTGAACGTGTTCGCCGTACCAAAAATAATTACGAATGCCAAGGGTACTGCTATTAGAACTATACGTACATTTGCATGTCAATACTCAGGTTATGTTGTTGTTTGCGCGCAAATCTTATGTTACAAAAATAATTGACCATCTGGCCAAGATTTGAGAAGCCCCCTCGAATTTGATTTGAGAACGCCCCTCGATAAGCCCCCCCCCCCCCCCCACCTTATCCTAAATTTGAAATAATTCATATATGTGAACTGCGGTGGTAATAACGAGAGAGAATGAGATGACTGAGATCTTCGCAGTTATATATCAACTTAAGCAGTTGAAAAGAAGGCCTGAAAAAATTCAGGCTCCAACAGGATTCGAACCCATGACCTTTGCGATTCCGGTGCAAACGCTCTACCACTGAGCTATGAAGCCATCATACATGTACATGTAGGCTTCATAGCTCAGTGGTAGAGCGTTTGCACCGGAAAATTGAATCGCAATGGTCATGGGTTCGAATCCCGTTGGAGCCTGAATTTTTTTCAGGCCTTCTTTTCAACTGCTTAAGTTGATATATAACTGCAAAGATCTCATTCTCTCTTATTATTATATTGTAGGTTTTATCCGCTATTGCTTGGATTGGGAAGAGGAAAAAGTGTCCGCTGCTGTGGAACCAGTGAAACCTGTGATACAACTTCTACAGAAAGAGCTTGGCGATACAGTTCCCCCAATAACAGGTCATTTCTTTATCTGGTTGTGTTGCTTCTTTTCAGGCGAAGACAAATTACTCGAAGAACTTAAACTTAGTTTCAAAGACACTGTCAGAAATGAGAAACCTACTCTTGTCTCTGTTCAGTCAGCTATAGATCTACTCCATCAGAATCTTCAAGCTGAAACCAAGTTTCAAAACCTGGTTTCTGAATGGAAGAACGAGAATGAACATGAAACGAATTATTCCAAGATGATTGTAGAAACTATTCATCTCTTATCTTGTAGATCAGAAACAGAGCTTCTTGAAACACTAGAGAGAGATACTGACAGGTTTTATTACCTTTCATGTGACCACGAACTGAAAGAATTGCCCAGACAACTTTTGCTTGACTTAATTCTACGAACGTCATTAGAAGCAGGCAATTGCAACCCTGGCAGAACAATTTTTTTGTCTCAGTTTGTAGAGAGCAGTGTTTCATTCAGGTGTCTGGGGAGAAAAGTTATGAAACTATGGGGTGGTCTGCATGGTGACATTGAGGATTTTTGCCAGTGGGTCAGGCTAGAACTTAAGTTCACTCTACCAGATGGCCAAGAATTAAAGTTAGATACAGGTTACGTGGATTACGGAGTTGAACCACCCCTACCTACTGAACAGCTGAGTCCAGTTACTGAGCTTTTACAGGAATGCATCAATCAGAGTATGCAAGGCGAAAAGCGCATCCCAAGGATTGATAATGTGTTCACAGCTGTTTATTTCTTACATGTCTTGGGGTTTTCCTTTGCTGGAGAAACTTTTTTACAAGAATTGGTTGAGATTAGCTATGACTGAAGCCCTGATTACATGAGACCGGTACGAACTCAGACCGGTACGACTTCAGATCGGTCTCCACAAATGCTTGTTTCTGTTTACATGAAACATGAGCCGGTCTGAAAAATCATCTTATGCCGGTTTCACTCATTCCGGTTGCTGAACCGACACGAATGACTCGGACCGGTCTGAAGTCAGGACTGCGGAACCATGTAAACATGAGCAGAATGAGTCAGACCGGTCTGAGATGATTTTTCAGACCAGATTCATGTAAACAGAAACAAGCATTTATAATGGAGACCGATCTGAAGTCCGTACCGGTCTGAGTTCGTACCGGTCTCATGTAATCGCTTCATACTTTCAGACAGGTCTCATGTAAACTTAATTGTACCGGTCTGAGTCGTACCGGTCTGAGTCGTACCGGTCAGAGTTCATACCGGTCAGAGTTCATACCGGTCTCATGTAACCAGGGCCTTAGACAACGTGTACTCTTGTGTGTTCTTCTGTTCCACTTCATTTATTGCTTTTCAGTTGCTTTCACCAACATCCGCAGATGAAAATTCCTCATCTGACTTCATCTGGAACAGTTTTCCCGAACAAAGGCTGATTCAACAAATGTATCAGGATCTTAAGAGGATACAAGTTATTGTTGTACGCTGTAAAATGGGTTTTATCTCATTCTGAATGACCACGGATTGGTTCAGTGTTGCCATATGAGTTGCAACAAACAAACTTCCTCCCTGTATCTTCGAAACGTAGAGAAAACGGTTCAAATAAACACATCTCCTATAGGTAGGGGGTCCTGATTCTCAGTTAACAGTTCAAATTTTATCCATTTCTCAGCTATCAGTTAATTTTGACAGATCATTCTCAGGTAACAGTTCAAATTTTATCCATTTCTCAGCTATCAGTTAATTTTGACAGATCATTCTCAGGTAACAGTTCAAATTTTATCCATTTCTCAGCTATCAGTTAATTTTGACAGATCATTCTCAGTTAACAGTTAAAATTTTATCCATTTCTCAGTTATCAGTTAATTTTGACAGATCATTCTCAGGTAACAGTTCAAATTTTGGCCAATTCTCAGCTAACAGTTAAACCCCATCAGGACCCTCTAGGTAATGTTGCAAGGATTCATGAACCATTATCTCATTTGTGGGAATGTAATCTGTGATCAGGCCAATTTTTCGCCCTCCTTACATTCTCTTTACGGGCAAATGAGGACATAAATCAAATAACCTAAAAAACAAAAACTCCAAATTTAAACCCCCAAAATATCCCATGCTGAACATTTGAACTTAACCGTAGCACTAAGTAAAGACCAGTGATTCCATTGTCACTAAGTACTAATCTTTTGATTTTCTACCACACCTAAGTTATGCCAATTTATGAGGAACCCTAATAAGTGGCCACTTCCCCAAGTGTGGCCGCTTAGTAGGGGTTCGACTGTATTTTGTGTTATTTTGTTAGTCGTTGAAAAATTTACTTGTGCTTATTTATTCCAAATTGCACTCGAAATCATGTGATTACTTGTTAATAACACACTTGAAAAAATACTGTTTACCGATTACTTAATAGGCTGAGAAGCCCTTCAAGTTGGGAAATCTTCGGAAGTCTTCGGGTGATCTTCGGAAATCTTCGGCAAACTTCGCCATTTCCAGCCAAAATGGCAAATGTCTATACCCTATCTCAGACAAGCAGGCAAAACATACCTTGAAACAAAATGATTAAACCCGTTTTCAGACCAAAACGGCTCAAATCGTATTCTCCTTCTCCATACATCTGCTTATATACGAATACTCTAGTCCCCGGGGGGGGGGGGGGGGGGGACTCCCATATAAAAGTGACGGGGTGATCGCCGGAAATTTTAAAAAGAACCCCTAAAAGTCCTAAAAGGTACCAAAAATCTCGCTTTGTGGGTGTGGCTCGAATTCATTTTCACCCCTAAATTCTAAGACAAAACTAGTCCCTGTTTCCGGTATATTTTTTCCAGATTAAGGCGGGATTCTACCTGAATGCCATTTTTCCGCCACTTAAGGTTACTGTAAACCTTCGTGACCACGTTGCGGAAAAGGCCTCGCAAGCGCACAGTTTTAAAGTAAAGTACCCAAACCTATATATCAATTTAAAGTTTATACAATGAAGAAACATGTAAGGTAATAATTTCCCCAAGAAAATAAAAATTGTAGTGGGTACGACAATTTGAACGCAATTTGACCGGTGTTCATAAACGTGAATTACCCGCACTTCCATTTAGCTGTACAAAAACATCTAGTTGTTGCATTATATTAAGCAGATGTTGAGTGCCAAAAGTGTGTCGGGGAATTTTGATATATGTTTCAAAAAGAAATAAAAGCATTTTAAAGTTCAAGTAACGATTTTCTTCCACTGTGAATTACGTTTGGGTCTGTAATTTCAAAACTAGAGGGAAATAAGAAATTCCCCGACACACTTTTGGCAGTCAAACATCTGCTTAAGGGACTGTGCAATAATTATCAGGAGGGGGGGGGGTTGGAAAATGGGCTTCATGTAGCCAAATATTAGGTAATACCCCCCCTCCTAAAGGAGTAAATTTAGTTATTGCCCCCCCTCTAATCAGTCAGAAATTATGTACGACCCCCCCCCCCCCCCCCCCCCCCCCTCCTCACAGTATACACACACCTTTATACAAGTACGCTGCTACATTTTCTCTACACGCACTAGTGTGGATTAAAATCTTATAACAGAAAAGAAGAGCTCCTACTGCATGTTTAATTGTTGGACATCCGCGTCTGGAACAAACATCACCTCCGTAGCAATGTTCAACAGAACCATAGCAGACGGAAAAGGGCATGTGTGTTATTTTCAGGTCCGGTGAAGGCTTCCTCGGCCCGAAGGGCCGGAAAATTTTTCGGCCCCCACCTTATAAATAGGTATGGATTCGCCAATGTAATATGTACTTTAAATAAAATGTTAAGCCCCCCCTCTTGAGTGACTTATTTTACCTAGAGCCCCCCCCTCTCCTTGCTTTGATTTTACTTTATGCCCCCCCCTCTGGTTTTCCAACCCCCCCCTCCTGGTAATTATTGCACAGTCCCTAATATCATGCAATAACTGGATTTTTCGTACAGCTAAATGGAAGCGCGGGTAATTCACGTTTATGAACACTGGTCAAATTGTGTTCAAATTGCCATAGCGGCTACAGTTTTTATGTTCTTGAGGAAATTATTATCTTACATGTTTCTTCATTCTATAAGCTTTAAATTGATATATAGGTTTGGGTACTTTACTCTAAAACTGTGCGCTTGCGATACCTTTTGCGTAACATGGTCACGAAGGTTTACAGTAACCTTAACATGGGTTTAATGGAAATATCTCGTTCGCGTTTCAAGCAATCCAAAAACTCTCCACTCATTCCATGAATCTATGTTATGGGGTGTTTTGTAAATTTTTGGGTGATTTTTGGTATTTTGGGGAGGAAATAGTTTTTCTCAAAGGAGTTGTAAAATTTAGGGAAATAAGAAATATTGAAGATTTAATGTAGTTTTAAAATTAGAATTTGAAGTTAAAAATTAGTAGCTATTAGTAGATTGACAATTGACGACAGTTGATAACCACGCAAGAGCACCCGCGTGGGTATCAACTGTCTGTTGGTGTTCCAAATTTTTTTTTTTTCCCTCTATCCCTTCTTTAAACCTCTTAAAAATGTCATTGAAATTCAGGTAGAATCCCCCCTTAATACCCTAAAAGGTACCGGAATAACTTAACGGCAAAACCACGAATTTTAACCGCTAAAAGGTACTGCGATCACCCCCCCACCCCCCCCCCCCCGGTGGGAAAAATCGGCAAGGAAGAGCTGAAGTTCCCCTAGAATGACCGAACAGATATAAATTTTATAGCGCAGCTTAGAATTAATTTATAGATCTTTAAAAGCACACCAGACAGCCTAAAACTCCTGTTACTTGTTACTGGAGCCCTTTGAAATTACGTCACAAAATGATCTGTGACCTCAAAGATACTTCTCCAAAACGGACA